CTGTCCCTGCACCACCACCACCACGCTATGGAGCCCACAGTGCGTATCGTCGGAATCGGCAATCGAATTGTGAGAGGCTTCCAGTAGGCGAACAATGTTTTCTGCTTTGAAGCAAAGGACACGAGATGTTATTTTATCACGCAGTCCGAGGGCATTTGTATACAGTCATGACTAAACATGGACATTTTATGCCTAGACTGCAGGGCGCTGAGCAAACACCCCTCTGCACAGAGACCAACTTCAAAAAGTCAGGACTGCCGTGCCAATGGATTGTAATGGGCGCACGACAAGTGCCCAGTCAGTGAAGAGTGCAGATTATGGGCAGACCGGAAGACCCGCGGACTCCAGACCCACTCAACTCGACCAATTAATTTTTTTACGCGGTAGGCAAAAGTGCCTTTCTGTATTACTCTAATTTACTAAGAGGTTGTTAAGTGTTGAAAGTTACGGAAACCATCTTACTAAAAACAACTACCAGATACCTCACGGATATATTAGAAAAAAACAAGTTGTGCCCCTACGAAGAAATCCAGTTAAGAAGAAAGTTTCTACAGGTGTGAAATCTCACTTATGATGGCAAATACGTATATTAAACTAAAAATATAAGAGCAGGGGGAAGGGACTCTAGACCAAACACATTCACACATTCTTTAATTCCCTGAAACAGTTCAACTGTCGTAGCCCACGATGTCTTCCATGTGCCATGGCAATGACGGTGACTTACACATTATTTAGTTTGCTGTGAAAGTAGACTTGCGCGGTATCTACTACACTCTCCCCTCTGAGCTGAATCGTCCGTTTGCAACCTCCTAAACCACGGTCTTTAGTCACGCCGTGATATGCTCATGCGTTACAGATTGTTTATAGTAAATAAAATGCACTAAGAGTCGATCTCACTCTCCCCTGTATAATAAACTATTTGAGTGCTTTTAAGGCCAGTTGGAATACTATATTTTTATGCGAACGACTGTGGAACAAAGTAAAAAGAATAAAAGTTTGACGAGGTTACATCATACCTTCAATTGTTCCTTTGTAGAGAATAATTGCATTCACTTTGGGGTTATCTTGGCTACCCTAAAAAAGGAAACAGAGTCATACGATTAAGTGAGAGATGTTTAAATTATGGGCCTGAGAGGAAGAACGTTTCTTACTGGCTAAATGCGTCAAACAAGAATTGGGCCTCATGATGCAGATTAAGATGTGTCCTTTTAAAAGGCAGGATATATGGGGAGGAGCTAACTGATATTAGTGCCTCGCACACCCCAATCCCAGGTTTAAGTAACCGTTTAGTTTAATCTGGACTAGCGCGCTGGCATCCTACGGGCAGGCACCTTTTGACGGCGAAAAATAACATTAGGTGGCTCTCCTTGAAATTTCGGCTCATGGTCTCAGAGTCAGTTAAAAATAAGTGACAGAAAGGTTGCTGTATTTATCTAGAAATTTACGTTTTCATTAAAATGCAATCCAAAAAAGATTCTAAAAAATATGTATATTCTCAAGTTGAAGGTTATCGGTGAGAGGCTTCGTGGGCTAAGGACAAATTTAAAGTCACACGACCTCGACTTAGAAGATATTCGCAGCAAGATTATTTTCTATTGCAAAAAAATCTGGACCAGCTAATATGTTGGCCTGGCCTACACTAACAGGATGAGATGCGCCTGACCTTACCTTGCGGAGCATCAACTTGAGATGGCTTGTGCTCCCGACCGGTTTTATAGTCGTAGATTGGAAAAGCGGTGGAAGATACAAGTTTGGATAACAGCGCAAAAATACTATCGTCGACTGGATTTTAAGTGGTGGTTTATTTATTTTAACGCTTTCTTATGGTCCACTTAATCAGTCGTGTAGTAAGTAAAGCAAGCTTCGGGTAGCTTAAAAGACCCAGCATATTTACTTACAATATTTCTTGGCACTTGGTATACTAAACGGTTGCTAATACAACAGCAGTATCCAGTGAAAGACGTAAGAAAAGTAACGCACCAGGTAAGTACAAGCACGTGTGAAGGGCAAAGGTATGGTTGAAAACCAGAATATGGAAGCTGGGAGGTACCCGATGACATCGCAATAGGACGCCGTGATAGAGGACACAATAAAGTACTGTGGATGCCAATATTTTAAAAAAATATAACAAGTCAAAATTGGTGTCCTTTATTACAACAAGAACCCCCTTGAGATTTAAGATAACGCTGGTACAACATTAATAGGCAGATAATACAAATTGGACTCATGCACTATTCTTTATCAAAAACTAGGTCACCGAAACCCCAACACCTATTTCAGTAACGAGGAGAAATCTAGACGGCGACAATAAAAGTGGCAACGCTTGACGTTAATAATAATTGTCCACCTATATGCGTTAAACGAGTCCTCGGTCCCTAAATCCCTAAAAGCCAAGCTAAAGACAGAAACGGAATCTAAAATCCGAGAGACACAATGCAAAAGTCCAGTTATGGAAAAGTCATAACGAGTCATAACTTCGGGTCTCTTTATAGTTTGTCGTTTAAAATACTGAAAAAAACACGTCGAAATCACTGTAAACTTTGCCGTTTTAATGGAAAAAGCTGTAAAAATACGTTCTGTTCGTTTGACTGACCTTAAGAAAGTTGACTGTAATGGAGTTTTGTCCGGTAATGTCCATGGAGGCATCCCCAATTTGAAGAATGTTATTATTTATGGAGAACGGTATGTACTCATCGTGCGCTGTAATAAATCCGACCCTGGCAAAGATATCCAGGTCCGATATCACTTTTATGTGTTTATTGATAGCTACATCAAAAACCTGAAAGGGTTGCAGTGATAAGCGGTAAAGTCTTCAAAATCACATCACTAAAATGTCCGAAAAGCTTTTAGTGGTCAAACTCTACTCTTGTAAAGGCCAATCTTCAAAATTTAAAATTCTCTGAATATTTTTGACTATTTATGGAGCAAAAAGTAATACATATTGCGGCTGATAACCGTCAATAAAAAACAAAGGTGAAGTACAAGCTCACGACCATAGAGCACGGATAGCTAAAGTCAACTTCTCAGGTTCTAAAAGCGCTAACGGGGACTGAAAATGTAAGTTGACAGGCAGATTTTTTTAACAATTACACATAGATTACCAAGTTACTAGTTATAGAATAACAAGGCAAGCGCAGCTTAAGACATGGTTATCAAAAACAAACATTTACATTTCCCGTAAAAGATGAAGCACCCTACCTTGCCACCTGGCCTGTCAAACCAAACTTCGGAAAATTTAAGCGTCAAAACATAAGCACCATCCGACGGTCTCGGAAATTCATATGAAAAATCTCTAGTGTCGTATCTTTCGGTCTGATATAAAATAAAATCCTCTTCGGGGACGCGGTGGAAAGGAGTAAACCTAGTTCCATAATCTGATGCTACGCCCGCATCAAGAGGGTCTGCCATGTATTCAACGCCATTAACGTCTTCGTGGAAGGGGCCGCCACAGTTTACAGCCCACAAAGCTGTGCCATGACCTCGGGCACGGAAGATTTCACATAGGAGGGCGAAGATGTACGCCAACGAAAATGGCACCATTACAGGAGTCTTAAATATTCCAACAGTATTTGTTGGCTTTACCTGTAATAAATTTAAAGAAAATATTGGAATCGGTAAATCGAATTTAGAAAAGAAACAAGAAGACGAATAAAGTGGCATCATACTTCAAAAATCGGCGAAAATAATGCCCTGGATACATAAATAAATTCAGATCACAGCTATCTGTAAATGTATATTGCGCTGTTGCCTTACTAGTAAGGCGGTGTGTTTTACTTCAGTAAACCCGGGATGACGATCGTCATCTCGAGTTGGGGAAGGAGTCATGAGTGAATGTATCACTACTATTAGATCTAAACGGACCTGAGGCGAAGGCAGGCGTACGGTGCGTCAGAGGGAAGTAAATGCGTGCATACGCGTACTAGAAAACAATATCTAGAAAATTGCTATCAGGGCCTGAAAAAGAAATTTATTAAATGTACGTAAATAAGGATACTGAAGACGTAAAGTAGGCATTTGTATATATAAACAGCACTCATAAAAAAATACTAGCACAAAAACACTCATAAACTAAAAAACAATGAGTGTGCTGAGTGGAATTAAACCAACCAACCTA